TGAAAAAAACGAATTAGACAGAAATCATTTCTACTTGTATTCACATGTATTATGAATTATTGTTCAGAATTACAAGGTTTTGATTCGAATACCTGCATGTTTATTATCATGTGGTTCTTGAGAACTGGTTTCATAAGCAGGGCAATATAAGAGGTGAATAATTGCTTAGATACCAGTTTAGGAAGACACTAAGAGCCAAGTTAATTTTACAAATGAAATTTGAAATTCAATCTACATTTATTTAAACCAACCTCATGAACTATGTTATTATGTTCCCATAATCAAAGAATCGGTGTTACATGTATATAAGTTTTGCCCTTTTTCTTCCATCTGTCTTTCTGTCTGTCTGTTTTTCCACAATAAAACTTTAACATTGCACATAACTTTTGATTATTTGGAGTATATTCCACAATAGCCATAGCTCCAATCAAGCCAAACATTATGGACAACATTAAAGATTTTGCAGATGAATAGAAAAACTGATACTGTATACAGAGAAATTTTCACTCCCGTTTTATTTTCGCCCCATTTTGCCCTACTGACAGGAGGGCAGTTTAAAAGGAGGTGAATTATTTAAAAAAACATAATGATTTCTTAAAAAGAATTGTAATAGGGTGAATTCAAAACAGGGCAAAATATTTTCTAAGTGTGAAAGGGCGAAAATAACCCTGTATACAGTAATTAACCTAACAGACAGACAGACAGATAGAAAGACAGATTGACAGATGGATGGACAGGACAAAAACATTTATCTCTGACTCTTCAATTACAGGGGGCAGGGGCATAAATAGGGTATTGTTAATTGTATTTTCATTTGAAAGTAATGAATGGATTAATTTAAAGGAGAATACAACATATTTTATCTCCATTAAATGAAAACATAACATGGCTAAATATTATGATGCTCGTTGAATATTACACTAAACAGTGTGTGTAAGTAAATCACAATCCCTTTATTTTTTATACCCCCCACTTGAAAAGTGGGATGTTCATCTGTCCATCTGTCTGTTACACTTTGGGGTACCAGTCGCTTATCAGCAGCTCCTCCTATACCACTGAATGAAAGGACTATATTTGGTAATGACGAATATTTGCCCCTAAAATTAAACATTGATGGAGAAATATATACATGTAATCATGTTCTTAAATAAGGGGATATCTGCAGACTTCAAAGCACTGTATATTTTCATAAACCATGACATCATATGTTTGATGTGACGTAAATTTAAATGGTTTATGATTTCTACAGAAAAAGGCAAATACTGTACATGTACATGTACGAGGGGCGTTCAATAAATAATGTCATTAGCTCGATGACATACAACATAGTAGTCATATGACATAAAGCTTGACTTTCTCTCATTATTGAATCTCTAATGAATTGATAACAGTTTGTGTGACCACTTTTCATCGTATTATTTCATCGTGGGAAGCTGGAAAACAAGGGCTATTCGAGACTTGCATTAAAAATGAATGATCAAGAATCAGTAAATTAGAGTAAAATTAAACGCTTCATTAAAGCAGCTGTAAAACTTGTTAATATCCCAAAAATATATTAACTGAAATATGTGAAATTTACAGCAACAAATGCCTGTTTTATAGACAGGTGAACAAGTGGATTTCAATAAACAAAAATTATATAATGGGCATCAAAAATGGGTGCCGTCCTTGGCAACAATGACTTATAACTACCGATGTAAATTTGCAAAATTTCAACAAACTATCACTGATTATGTTTTATTGAATTTAAGACACATAGCAAAATTGAAAAAAATCATTTTGGGGATAGTTCATACTGATTTAAATAAATATTTTATAGTAAAAAAGTTTAATACTCAAAGGCCACCCTATATTTTGAAAACGAGTGAAAACGACAGCGTGTAGGAATATCCAAACAATTATTTCAAAAAATAAAAAAAATTACTTATCCACGTTTGTATGAAATTGTAACAGATAATGAAACTTGAATCCATTTTGTTTTAAGCCCACAAAACAAATTTTCAATAAGATGCACTTGACAAAACTACAAAGGCCTAAGAAAAGCAAAGAATTGCATGAGAATAAAACCGTTTTATATGCTATTTTCTTAAATATTAGCGGTCTTGTTGCTCAAATTCATATTCTGGGAGGAAGTTCAATTTATGGAGGAGTCTAGAAAACCATTTTTTTTGCAAAAAAAAAAAAAAAAGAAAAGAAATGTTTATGAGAGAAAGGAAACAGAATGAGGAATTTACATTAAGTGTCTTCATGATGGCGTCCAAACCTACAGGCCATGCAGAGTAAAGGAGTTTTGGGGATAAACAGGAAGTTAATGTTTTGTCACAACAACAAAATTTGCCAGATCTTTCAATCTTTGACTTATTCCATTTCCTAAACATAGAATAACATCTCTCAGAAAGAAAAAAAACAAGTACAGCAAATCATAGGATCTGCCGTATTCCAGTATACGAAGGGTCATACTCAAAAATGTATTCGAAAAACAATTAGAAATTGAATGAAAATGTTACGGATATGCGTTTTAATTGAAAGAGAATATTTTAGTTAGATCATTAAGACAAAGTCATAGAAAAGCGTTTATTGTTTCTTTCGGAGCCCCAATGACATTATTTATTGAACGCCCCTCGTACATGTACATGATTTGGCATATTAGCGCAATCAGTGGGTAAGGAGTTGTTGGCATAATCATGAATTAGCTCTACACATGTTTATGCTGTATATTCTATTCATAAATGAATTCTTAGAGGTATTCATGAATTAGGGCATACTCATTTGTGCCAAAGCTTCCAAATAATATGAAGCCCACTATTTTTACACATTATGTCTCTCTCACCCACTCCCCTCTCTCTCTCTCCCTTCCCCACTCACTCTCTCTCCCCCTCTTTTGCTCTCCCCTTCCCCACTCACTCTCTCTCTCCCCTCTCCTATCTCTCTCCCCTCTCCCTCCACTCTCTCTCCCCCTCCACTCTCTCCAACTCTCTCTCTCCACACACACATTCTCTCTCTTTCCACACAAACTCTCTCTCCACTCGCTTTCTCCCCCCTCCAGTCTCTCTCCCCCTCCCCACTCTCTCTCTCCCTCCCTCCCCACTCTCTCTCTCTCACCCCTGTCTCTCCCCACACACAGTATCTCTCTCCCAACTCACTTACCACTCTTTCCCATCTCTCTCGCCTCTCTTTCTTTATTTTTTTTTGTTCAATTTGCTTTTTAGTGTGTGACGTGTGAAATAAGTTATATATATGCTTAATTCATAGATATTTCAAAGTTTTCTACAATAAAAATAATGGAAAAATACTCAGTCCAAAATGTAGAGAAAATTCTCACTGTTATTATTAACGAAATTATAAAATGTTTATTCTTGATATTTCTATTTTAAATGAGATTTATCAGAATTGTTAAATTTTGTAAAAAATGAATGTAATTCAAAATTTTAAGGGCGATAACTTAATGGAAAATTCCAAGTTCAGATTTGATCATTTGTTTGCGCGTTTCATTTTAAACGCTTGTAGAACAATATGCAAGGAACTTAATATGTCAGCTTGAAATCCCTGCTGAATATCATTTGTCTATATTTTTATAATTTTTGTACTTTTCAGACAATGATACCCTCCTCCCCACCCAAATGCACTTGCATCACGACTCCTCGTTGTTTTATGCATTACCGGCCGATAAGTCATATTTTTTCGTTGCATATATATGTATTAAATTTTTGATGCATTCTCTTAATAATAAACATACAAGTAACTTTTACTTGCTGCATGGTTCTACCCTATTAACCAAAGATTTTCCGCATAACGTTTTGAATGGATAGTGTTCATTGGTTTACCGTTGGGCCATCAGTGTAATTTGAGTAAAAGTTCACCTTATTATAAGCCCTAACCCTGCCTCTGGGAGAATCAGAATAGTTCAATTAAGCAATAGAGAATTAAATCAAAAAAGAGAGTCATGTAAATTGTGGGATGAAAAATTGTTGCCTTTGTCGCATATATGCACCCTTCTCAAGCTATGTAACATTTTATACATAAAGGTTGTAATTCGTAAAACACTTGAAATAAGCATTCAATTTTAACTCTGGAGGAAAGAATTATGAGGGAAAAAAAACGGGGATGAGAAGAAAAAGAACATGTTAGAAATTAGAAATTCCTTGAAAAGCCAAAATGAAAAGAGAAATTAATGTCCGCAGACTTATATCACAGGTGCAAAAAGGAGAATCATACATGTACTGCGTTCAAAATCATTTGCGATCGCAAAACATAGCTTATCTGATAAATACAGTTTCACGATTTGTAAACTATGGTTTACAACTCTTAACTATAGTTAACGATCGTAAATTATAGTTTACAGACGTGAATCTATGTTTATCAACAAAATCTATTGTTAACGTTTTATTACAGACAGATAAACTTAGATTAGCATTCGTAAACTATAGTTAACAACCGTTAAATATAGTTTTACAGATGAAAACTATAATTAACGAATCGTTAACTATAGTTTACGGTTTGTAAACTATAGTTTACAGTCGATAAACCTAGTTTATCAATTGTGAAACTAGGTTAAGCTCATTTTTGTGAATTTGGCGCGCCATTCATATAAGAAGCGACGAACAATATCGTCATAATTATCTTTTTTACTCGTCGAGTCGAGATAGAATTTTCTTTAAAATTTTATCAAAAATATTTATCTCTTTCATAATCATTCTAACTTTAATCAAAATTGCCAAGAGAAATAAACTATGATAGGAATTATATTGATGATAATATTTTTTGTGTTCCCATAGTTTTTCTTTTATGTGTGCCCATGTTTTATGCATAAAGCAGTAGAGTTACAGTGCACTCAGAGACTTCTGGTTGTAGAGCAACATAAACAAAGCGGAATCCAACGTGTGATACCGGTATGTGTGACATTTTCCAGATGAGTAAACAAGGCTCTATGATAATGAAGAAGATTAACGAAAACATTTAATTGAAGTATTGTTTGTGATATTATGCATGAAAACGTGACTCTTATGAGCAAACATCATATATTTTGCTGCACCACTGGTATGATAAAGGTCACATTGTAAAGACGACAATAACAGATAAAAAATACTCACTTCGTGTGCGAACTCTTGCACAGTAAAAACAGCTGCATGCGTTAGAGTACTAGACAAAAGGTAAACTTTTTTTTTTGGTTTATTTCTGTAATATATACTAGTGCTTGATTTTTTTTATTTTGTGTAACAGTGCTTTTTATACACTTATAAAGTAAATCGGTTTAAAATAGGAATGTTAAATGATCATGTAATTTGTATTTATAAATTGCAGGTTTTTTTGTATTCATTTGATGCAATCTGTGTTTTGTCCGATTATATTGTATTCGTTCATACATGTATAAATATAAGTCTCAACAGAACTACTATGGATATTTTTGAGTTAAAAAAAACAACCATGATTGATTAGCAAGACTACTATTATTCATATTTGTAATATTTGGCGTCTGTTTTGTAAAAAAAAAGTGATAATTTTGAAATCATGGGTCTCGTGATATAAATTGCAGCCATAACCAATTCTGTTGAAAAAATAGAAATGAGGTATACATTTGTATATATCGTATTCTAAATACATTGTACATGTTATGTGTAAGTACCCACGTTAGACTCATAAAAGTTGGCTTTGTGTAAAATCTAAAAGAAGAATCTTAAAACAATGAATGTTTATTAATGAAACATAAGGAGAAAACGAACAGTATTCAATCTCAAAGTCCATAAAACAATACAAAATAGGAGCAGAGCAAGCAGGGACGTCCAAAACATCAGAGGTGGGATCAGGTGCCATGGAGGAGTGAGCATCCCCTGAGAGAAACACCCGCCGTGTGCTCCTTGTCACGATCGGGAAATAACGGGAAAATCCGTCATCAATTCAGTGTATAAATAATGGACTTACAATTAGTATGAAAAACGTCAGTCAGCATTTGACTTCCATGATAAATTGTATTTGCTGACAAGGTCACTGTATCGACCACAAAAGCGTCGGAAGCAATTTGAAAGTGGGGTGGCTAATTGAAAGGGGGGGGGGACTAAACCAACGAAAAAGGTATATGCCTATATAATGTCTATCCCCCTGGTTCTGAGGCACGTGGACCATATAGAACATACGAAATGATGACTTTAATGTAAAATAACACTTGGGAAACCCCCAATTATAAGTTTTACGAAATTGTGGTGGTAAGCATTTTTTTTTACTCAAGCTGCAGATCTGTAGCGTTATGGTTTTATATTTTGTCTTTGACCATAACGCTACAGATCTCGTAATGCAAAAAAGGTACAATTTACGGCGCAGTATTTTTTGCGCACTTTTGGGGGGAATTTCCCCACTTTCTAGCATTGATCCATCAACTACCTTTCACTCCCTAATTCTAGACACATTCTGTAGCCAATATGTATATTTTATCAAACTCACAACCATTTATAGTTGTTTCTACAGGCAATAAACTCGCTTGAAGCGAATTTTCAGCAAACTAACAAATAATTTTAATCAAGCGAGTTTATCACTTGTAGAGACGACTATAAAGGGTTGGGAGATGGATAAAATAAAAAGATTTAGTTAAGTAATGTACTTGAATTAGGGGGTGAAAGGTAGGTAATTGACCGATGCTAGAAAGTGGAGAAAATCTCCCCAAAAGTGCGCAAAAAATATTGCGCCGTAAATTGCACTTTTTTTGCATTACGGGATCTGCAGCGTTATGGTCAAAGACAAGATATAAAACCATAACGCTACAGATCTGCGGCTAGCCTTATATCAACGTTATACCGGTACATTAGCTTCGAAATACATACCATGCAGAAGAATAACTAATTTTTAATATGGAGACAAATTAAATCGTTTGCTAAATCTTATGTGTGTTTTTTAACCTTAAAATTAACTAAGCATGAAATTGGACATGCAACAATCTGGAATGTCAATACGTATTTAGCAAAACAGCAGTACTGGTATAATTATAATAATCTTGGTTTAATAATGGTGTACATTTATAAACTATGTTGTAACGTCTAGTTATTGTAACACAGGTTACTTTAGTACTCTACTACATATTGAAGACATGGCACATGATAAAAATGTGAAATAAATACAGAAAAATACCACAACACCAACAAAGAAAGAACAACAGACATACAAAAACAACAAACATATGACTAAAAACAGAAGAGAACAGAAAGTGAAAGTATCATAAATTTAAACCATAAGATGAAAAATTTGAAATGGTTATGAAATATTAGTCTGTTTTATTTTTTCATACTTCTCTAAAACATTTTGATCAAAAACATTGGATGAAGAGCAGTTAACACGTGTTCAAACTAAACCAGATTAGTTTTGTCTTTTAAGGTTATTATTCTGACATTAACGTTCTCGGCATGGCTCTTCGTTGGGGAATTTGTGGAGCAGGAACCATCTCTAACGACTTTGTTTCAGCACTTTTGGCTCTCCCGAGTAATGTCCATGAGGTATGACAATAACAGCATATGCCTGGCATAAAAACTAAGTATGAATTAAATGACTGTGCTTTTAAAAAAGATGTGAAAAATGAAAATATTTAAAAAAAAAAAAACTCTTTCAGTATTAAAATTTCATGTTATGATAATTTTAAGGCATAAATATTCAGGGTTATAGCCTGTAAGACGAAGGTAGGGTTTTAAAACTTTATTGTGCCATTAAAATTTATTTTTTTCAAAAAGTTTTGAAACTAGCTTAAAGATAAGTTAAGTATATGGTTGAAATAAATCAGAAAAGAATATGGCATGAAGGAGTACCATTCTGAAAATATGACGTCACCAATTTGATGCATTTCTCCATTTCAAAGAAATAGTCTCAAAATGACTCATTTCAAGGGTTATTTTCCTTTCGTGAAAACTGTCCACATTTGTCGCCCACTTTAATTTTTGGATATGTTGTGTAAAATTCTTTGAAAAATCACATATCTAAAAATCTTTGTGGGCGATGCCTGTAGACAATATTATTTGAAAGAAAATATTACATTGAAAATTGTTGTCTTCTGCAACTTTTTAAGAAAATATTTAAAAAATGCACAAGTTTGTGATGTCACAGTTATCATTGAGAAGCTCATGATAGAAAAAGATTGGTATTATCTTTATGCAAGGAATTTCAAAGATACAGGCAGCATGAGTTTGAAATTTACGTCAAGTTCATTTTTTAAGAAAACACAGGACAAGATCCATATTGAATCGTACCTTGTTCTTTGATTCTCCTTTTTAAATTATTTTTTATAATGTAATGAAAAGCATTGCAATGATAAAGTTAATATATATAGTTTATACTCCTTTACACTTCTAAAGTTAGATCTTTTATTAAAGTTTCATGGATTGTTTTAGGTAGTTTGCATTGGGGCAAGATCACTCAAAAGAGCTCAGCTTTTTGCAGACAAATTTGGAATAAAGAAAGCATATGGCTCTTATGAGGAGGTTGCCAATGACCCTGATGTAGGTAAGACTTTAGTGTGATTACTATGTCATTGAAAAGCTGACTTGTGAAGTCGAAGGCGAGACAAATCATGGTTTCTTGCTGTTCACCGAGATAAATCGCTTAATTGTTTCACATACATGTACTGTAAAATCAAATTTTCGTGGTTGGAGAAAAGCTATGGGCTTGTGAGGATTTGATTTTGTACGTAAGGAATTATTGAGTAATTATGTATATGATATTTTACATTTCGTGGCACATATGTATTCATGGTCTCTTCATACATCGAAAATTCAAGAAAATAAACCAACACGAAAATAAAAATTTTCACACTAGATTAAAACGGTTTGAGTCGAAAGTAAACATTTTCTTTAATGTACATTATCGCCGAAGGATAACGTACATGTATAAGATTTTAAAATGACTGTATGCCGACATGGAAATAAATTGTCAGTAAAGTGAACTGAATGTTCAAACCTTCGGCGTTTATGCAAATTATCACGCAAGCCAATCGATTGATCACACCATGAAACCAAAAAATACTTGTATTATTCCTTAATACAACTGTATAGCCTAAATTCTTTGCATCACAGTTAGGGATACTAATCCCTAAATGCTAGCGAGTGAGCTTCGAGTACAGTGCTACCGCATGTACTTCCTATTTATACCCTATATAATCACGTGACTTTCCAAGAAACTTTTCGAACACTTTACAATATATATACCATGCCGCACATAATTGTCCCCCAGCTTTCGCGAAAGCGAGGGGACATTAAATCTCATTTTTTGTCTGTCCGTCTTTCCGTCTGTCCGTCCGTCACAAAAACTTTAACCTTGCCCATAACTTTTGATTTAGTGGAGCTATGACTTTCATATTTTTTCACATGTGTATTCCTTGTGACAAGACCTTTCTTTGGGTACCACCGAATTTGACCTTTTGACCTTGACCTTGGAGTTTGACCCACTTTTACACAAAAATTCCAAACTTTTACTTTGGCCATAACTTTTGAATGGTAGATACTAGGACTTTCATATTTCACATATGTAGTCTTTGTAGCAAGACCTTTTATGGATACCAATAACTTTGACCTTTTGACCTTGACCTTGGAGATTTATGTACTTATGAAAAAACGTTAACCTTGACCAAAACTTTTGAATGGTAAGGGCTAGGGCTTTTATACTTCACATATTTAATCCTTGTGAGATGACCTTTAATTGGATACCAAGAACTTTAACCCTTTGACCTTGACTTTGGAGTTGACCTACTTTTAAAAATCTTTAACCTTGGCCATAACTTTTGAACGGTTAGGGTTAGGGTTTTCATTGTTCACATATGTATTACTTGTGACAAGACCTTTTTTAAGAAACCAACAACTCAGACCCTTTCACTTTAGAGTTTGACCTTCTTTTCAAAAACTTTGACCTTGGCCACAACTTTTGAATGGTAGATACTAGGACTTTCATATTTCACAATCGTATTTCTTGTGAGAAAAACCCTACTTTGGGTAATAATATATTTCATTTGCATTTAAGAAAAGTGTAATCTTCAATATGTAGCCATACGGGGTCATCAGTGTTTCACGAACACATCTTGTTCCTTTTATATTGAGAAGAGATAGGGCTTTCATATTTGACATGTGCATTACCTGTGACAAGATAATTCCGAGCATGCTATGATATCTTACCCTTGACCTTCACGATTGACCTTATTTAAAAAAAATCAACTTCAATGATATATAATTTCTAAATTATTGACATATGATAGGGTGTTGTCATAAAAATAACATCTCACCCACAAAGACACCGAAAGCGGAGGACCACAATTCTTTGAATTTGCTTGTTTTAGTTAAATTTTATCTCTACGCTTCGAAGTCTGGATAAAATATTATGTGTTCACTATTTGATATACATGTACACTAATATTATTTTGCATATTAATGGCAAAGATTTGTATAAAGTTATTATTCTTGATTGTGAAATAATAAGTTAAAAACTTAAAAATAAACAGGTTGTTATTCTATGAAAGTGTAATCTAGTACCACATTCAGTCGGTGCAATCATGAAAATGTTCAATGAAGGCTGTATACAATGTAAATGCACATATCATTTATTGAAATTCATCACCTATAATGTAGAAGTACATTTAAACATTGGGTATTCATGTATACTTCGTCAAGCTGTTCACACATTTAATATGTTGTTATTTTTTAGACATTGTGTACATTGGTGTAATACACATTTTCCATGTTGCACTATCCAAGGAGATGCTAAGAGCAGGCAAAAATGTTCTCTGTGAGAAACCAGTAGCGGCAAATCTGGCTCAGATTGTGGAAGTCCAGGAAGTGGCCAAAGAATGCAAAAAGTTCTTCATGGAGGTACATAAGAACTAGGTCAGAAAATCTCAATGTAGCCAATTTCCTTTCCGAAAAAACCACGACTAAAACAATTTTTGAACACAAATCTCTCTTATTTCAAGTCCATGTATTAACGTAAATCAAATCTGCAAGATCATGCAATTTAAATGATTTTTTTCCAAACCACTATATTATTTCGAGATCATTAATTCAAAGAAATATGATATTTTTTTTTTCTCATTTTCTTGCAGGCAGTTTGGACAAGATGTTTTCCAATTTATCGCAGAATTAAAGAAGAATTGCGGTCTGGAAATTTGGGAGATATTATGCATGTTCAAGCTCAGATTTGTATTCCACTCAGCCAAGTACATCGTATCACAGATCCAGAATTAGGGGGGAGCGGGTTATTTGACATTGGAGTTTATACTATCCAGTTGGCCACCATGATTTTTAACAATCAAACACCAGAAAAAATTACAGCTGATGCAACACTTTCAGATAAAGGTTGGTCTTGTATTTCCTGGATTAATGAAAAACTCACAAGGGTTATTGGTGCATAAAGTATAAAATACACGAATAATAATCACACAAATATCCTCGTATTCTACAAAATTTTATTGTATTTTTTTTATCATTGAAAAGTAAATGTAAAAATGTATTTAAAAAAAATCTTAATTGTTTTGCAGGAGTGGATATGGATGGATGCATTACATTAACGTACAAGAATGGAGGAAGAGCTGTGTTAGTTTACAGTACATTGTTTCAAGCAGGGAAGAACAATACAGCCACAATATATGGTACCAAAGGAACTGTAGAGGTTTGTGCAACAGAATACAGTCAGTATCGTAAAATTATGAAATTATATATAATGTTGGTTATGCTATCTTTGTAGAAATGACAAGAAAATATAATTTTCTTTTTAATACTAGTATATTGGTACATTGATAGAAATGCTTCATGAAGCTTCTATGAATTGCACATAAATGAACATAACGAATCAGTATTTATATTTTTTGATTTTGAATGGCAAAATATAGATTGGTGCAAATTTCTGGTGTCCTTTGGAAGCCTCTCTACCATCTGGTAAAATTAGCAATGAGATATCGAATGGTCCAGTACCGTATAATTTCCCCTTTAGTGGGGGCCTGAGATTTGAGGCAGACTGCATCAAACGGTCTATAGAAGCAGGTTATCTACATACTTGTTTATAACTTATATTTTGCAATGTGTATTAAGATTATTTGATCTAAATCTAATTCTTGGAATTATTCTTAATGTAAAATTTGTCTATACAATCATGTATATCTACAATTCAACAAGTCTAATTTCAGTAACGATACAAATAATCAAATTTCATCAAATCTAAATAAAATATTTTAATTTTTAATGGAAAAAGTTACTTTCATTTTTTTTCTTTTGGTAACCGACCATTTTCCGAATATTTTAATATTTATAACCACTCTAAATTTAGGAAGATTTGAATGCAGTGAAGTGACATTTGCTGACAGCCAAGCTATTTATCAAATCGTTGATGAAGTTGTGAAACAGATCGGCATGGATCCAAAATGGTGAAGAATTTACGTACATGTATTTTAATAGGGTACTATAACTATTCGTAAAATGTTACATTAATATGTATGCTTAAAATGGCAACAAATTCTGAATTTTTTAATGACATTTTTACCTTTATTTGCAAAATAATAAATGTTATTTTTATTAATACTTCCTTTTCTGCAAAGTAAAAAATACTCATGACTAGAATGTAAAATATATATATCTTCTTTTTTATCATTTCGATAGGTGAATTTAGAAAGGCATCAAAGAAATAATTCCATATAAATGGTGCATCAGCTTAATCAACACAGACTATATGGTGTACAAATAAATTCTCAATTCCAATTTAATGTTTTAGAGTTTTGATTACACAGAAAATGTTATCTCAATTAATATCAGTTAACATAACATGATTACCTCATGTACAACAAACTGATCTCTCTCTTTTTAAAAATATTTTGTATATCTAAAATATTTTGAACAATATATAATTATATAGACATGTTTAAAATTCTGCTTATCTGTAATCATTTCTCTGAAAACTTTCCAATAAATATTGAGATGGTAGTGTGTATTTGATCCTTCTTCCTTCGAATTTTAGTCAACAGTATCCAGCAAGGTATATTCTAACCTGCTAAATGAATGTTGATATATATTGAGGAGTTGTGGATAAGAGATGGGTACCCTTTAATATTATACAAAAATGGCAGTGTCAATGTTTTGTCCTGGAAAACCTAAAATATGTGTCCGATCAAAAGTAAAACAGGAGGTAAATAATATGATGATTCTGTGTAACATCACATTTCTTTCAGTGGTATGAGAGGAGTTGCGGATAAGAGATGGGTACCCCAAAGCCAAATAGACAGACTTTCCAATATTTATGTCCCGTGATATATATATATATATATATATATATATATATATATATATATATATATATATATATATATATATATATATATATAAAGCTAAAAATATCATTATACGCTAAAAATTGTCTTTTCGGGATTTCTTCCTCAACAAAGAAAAAAGTTAACTTTTTTCTTTGTCCTGAGGAAGGGACAGGGCGTCGTGAAATTTGACAATTTTTATTGTTCATTTCGTGATTTTTAGTGCTTTATATAAATTTCCATCCGTGACCTTGTATCTACTTGGTAGATCCGACATTTAGGATATACAGTGTTGTTGGTTTTTTAGTGCTTTTTATATATATATATATATATATATATATATATACCCTCCCACTTTTCAAGCGGGAAGTATAAATTATATAATACAATTTCACATGTTAATCAAATAATATTTGGCATAAAAATCACATGTATCAGGAAAATGGAATTTCCATATAAACTTGTAAGGATATTACCGGCTCAAAATTAAATTCCTTTCTACGTTCGTCTGCACAGAAATCTTAGACAGTATAGAAATTTGCTATTTTTGTCTATAAAAGTTTCTGAGTTCTGTGTACGTTGGACAATACGCATTAAATGTTCCAAAAAGTATAAATTTCTTTGAAGTCTTCCAAAATGTACCATGAAATTTTGAGTGGATCTAAGGTCCAGTTTAAATTCTAGAAAATTATTTTGCGTCGATATTGCCTTTTTAAGAGTATTTCATGCGAAATACAGAATAATAGATGTATAAAAATACTTGACCTTGGTGCGCCTCTGAATTATGAATTCTGTTTTCATTTAAATTTAACCACGTCTCATGATACATTTAATGGAAAACGTTTAAGTTCTGTGCCTGCTTGCCTTAATCATGTAAACTGCACCAACTAATAAACAACAAAATACAGGTGAAAATAATATGTAATAATTTAATTAGCTCTAATAAATATATCACAGATTAGCTTTTTCATTTTGGGATATTACAAAAGTCAGATTGATTCAATTATTCCTGTGGAAAATCCTCCTCATTCTCTGCATCAGTCCCCGTTTCTCAGTTTTCTTGATTTTTCTTTTTTTCTGAAAAAAAATTAAGTATTTCAAATGCAATATTCATTTACAGATAAGTTATTTTAGCACAAATGATTTAAATTTTAAGGAGCTTTTCTACATGAGATCAAATTAGCCTAAAAATTGCCACAACCACCAAGCCCTCTTAAATACTCAGGAACTTGTACTCACTGAGGAACAACAAGCTCCACAGAGGAACAGTCGCATCAGAGGGTGTTTGGTAAAATACTCGTTTTCTACCTCTCTTTCCGACTTTGATTCTTGGACTTGAGGCTCAAGTATCTGTAAAAAAGAAAAATAATCCTTGTTAAAATATCATTTAACAAAATCATATATACTATTTTTAGAAGACTTTTTTGTTGTTTGTTTCATTTATTTATCTATATAAATTATTTGTTGTTGTTGTTTTAGCTTTTAATTCGTCTTTAGTTGTATAAATCTATTAATATAAAGGAAAAAAGAAAGAAATTGCCATCCACCCTTTGCTTGTTATCTATAACATCTTCATTTTCTTACCTCTGTTGAGAGAATAGAAATCTCTGTGTCAATTGTTTCCAGTCCACGGATTTTTCTGTAATAAATGCATATGTGTTCATTTCAACACGGGGAATGCTCAAAAGCTATTGAATTATATGAAATGGAAAATATGCGACATCTCAAACTTTTTGTATTTAAACATAAGATCCTTACACTGTGCGATTTTTGGTGCAGCATGTACCATTTTGCTCAACTTGGGTACTGCATGAAGCAGTTTTCCCATCCATCAAGGTGGTTTGATGATCTGAGCTCTGTAATTAGACGAAATTGGATCAGTGGACATATTTTATCCTAATAAATCATTTACATCTTTTACCAAAGATTCCAATCAAACTCAATATTGTCTAACCTGTGAAACGTTGGGCATTGTGGTTCCACATTCTGTCCTGCTTGCTTGTGTTGCAGAAGTGCCTATCAACAGTGATTTATCTTCGTTAGATACCCGTGGAATGTACTGAGCATGGATCTCGCCAACTACTATTCCAGATTCAGCATCAAAGACATGCACCGGTCTTTTCATACCCTGTATCACAGAATTGTCAATTCGGTACGCCTCGTCCGTTTTCTCAGGGGATGCACTGTTGGTTTCATCATTCAGATTACTGGCATCTTTTTCTTCCAGTTTCGGCAAGTCAGAATCTCTTCTTGTTGGATCGAGGTTTGTCTCTGTTACGTCCTTATATTCGGGAGTTCCGTTTGACTTTGGGTCACAAAAACTTTTGCTTTCTTCCTTTAAAGGAAATGCAGGTAAATTTAACAACAAATTAAGACATCGAATGCTTTCTATGATGATAATTTTTATGATAGAATAAAAATTATAAAATCATTAATATGAATATTGTTATTAAAGTTTTTATTTGCAATTTTTCTACCTTAGAATTGTCCAATTCTGCTGTAGAAGATTCCGCAGCTTCAACAGTTTACCCAGGAGGTTTGTCTGACTTAACTGTTCCTGAGGCCCAGGGACATCTCCATTACCCTGAAATTCACGGAATTTTTTTTTATGATTTCGTGAAAATGGAGAGTGAAAGAGATTACAAAGATTTTTGCATTTCAAGATATAAACTTAACATGCACATGATCTTTTTTTTTAACAGAACCTGTGTCATAATTGTTAAATTGTGACGAAAATAAAAAAATACAAATTAATCAAACATACATGTATACAAAATATGTTAATTGATGATGTGTACAAATGTACCTTTGATCTCTCTTCTAGTTCCACCGGGTCTATGACAGGTGACCGAAAGACAACTCACCGAACGACAACTCGCCGACACTTTTTTCACCGACACTGTAAAACTCGCCGATACGACATGTCACCGAAAGACGTGTGTATCATTATAAAACAAAATTTAAAAAATATTAAGAGAAATTTATGTATGTGAAAAACGTTTTTATTCATTTCAAATTTTTTTTATTAAATCAAAAACCTCACCCAATATTGCCGACGTATGACCTTGCTCGGATTCACGAGAAGCAATCTATACATATGCGTAAGACCAACAATCATTATGATGGATATACAAAAAAGACAAAGAAAAACGTTTTTATATATATCTTTGATTATGTTTATTATATCTGAATACTTAACACAACATCTAACAATTATTTTATATGAATTTCTACTCGCCGACACTATTGTCGGTGAATTGTCCATTCGGCGAATTTCACTTTTGTCGGTGACCTGTCTGTCGGTGAGTTGTCTGGCACCGAGTTCCACCATATCTGCCCAGTTATATCCAAATGATAATATTGCTAATTTGGCTTCCTGGAAATTAAAATTTATATTACATTGACAATTGTACCTAGTGTACCGCGTGGAATCAAAACTACATTAAATTTTGTTCTGTAAAGTTAAATACATGTACACCTACCACAGTAGTCACAGGGTCTTCTCCGAAATCCAATATCTCGTTCTATAAAGTTAAGACATGGATTACAGTATTTAAAAAGTCGTTGGAACCATTTCATTATTTTAATGAACATCTACTGTATAATCTGAATGGTTTCAGTATATTAATAATATTTGTTCCCTAGCATTGCAGGCAAAACCCACAACTTGAACTATTTTTGGTTATATGAATATTTTCTACATTGAAAAAAATGTACAGAATACTATTAGCGAAGACTTAAATTGCATATATGTGAGTAATATACTGACAAATAAAATATATATATATTTTCAAATTTTCCAATGCATGTCTCCTGCTTATAAATTATAGATTTCATCAGTCAATTCCTATTTAGCAAACAATTATTGGTCTTTTTTAAACTCTGATAAAACTATAAGGATTTTATGAGATGTCCTTTGACAATGTTTTCAATGACGTCACAGTTGCTATTATGACGTTATAAAAACATTTTGAGGAAAGTAGAATATTTTATGCAATTTTATTAAAAGCATCAATTTTCGGTAAATGTTAACATGAAATACCATTGAGATATGACAACAAACCCCTGTTTCTGTAATCTTTTCAAATCAATTTAATACTTAGATTGCATGATTTGTCAAGTTATGAGTGGACTTTTTAATATAATGAGCATTAATGCTAACATCAGAACATTTTTATCAAAAGTAATGATTGTAGAAAAATATAACTATAACTAATACCCTATGCACAAATGTTCAAAAAATTAATTTGTTTAAAATTGTACTCACCTGATTTTGGGTATTCATTGTTCTTCAAAGCACAGTTTTTTTCTTTGATTAAACAATAACACTACTCCGACATTCGTTGTCAATAAACTTAAGTTTACTGACGTCATAATTACTATTGTGACGTGTCAATTGTCACGTGATGAAGATCTGCTTCAGAAAAGTTGTAACATCGTCTCAAGCCTCGGTCCAGAGTCCGCATATAATTATAGCTCTCTCCAGAATGGGAGAGGATCGTACATTTTGACCATGGTTTGCGACGATGAAGTTGTAAAGATTTTTAAATTTCATGAAGTCCGAAATCATTTATATTAATTCATACTGTATTTAATTTGTATAAGTTAAATATTTTCTGTTAAAAACAAATGTATAAATGAAGGATATGGAGATAACGAACAGTATTCAATATCAAAGTCCTTAAAACAATACAAAACAGGGGCAGGGCAAACATGGACCTCCAAAACATCAGACGTGGGATCAGGTGCCATGCCCTGCCAACCGGTCCCCCGCCGTGTGCTCCTTGTCATGATCGGGAAATAACAGAAACATAACGGGAAAATCCGTCGTCAATTCAGGGTATAAATAATGAACTAACAATTAGTATGAAAAACGTCAGTCAGCATTTGACTCAATGATAAATTGTATATTTGCTGACAAAGTCATTGTATCGACCCCTTACGAAATGATGACTTTAAATGAGACAGATGATATTCTTGTTTCGTCAACTTGTATGTCAATAATTTACCTCCGTTTTAGAAATTGTTCATATGTACAGCATGCTCTTGCATATTGAATCAACTGAGATACTAGTATATAAAGTCCGTATGCAGGTGATGAAGGTATATTGCTGCATAAGTAGCTTAAGGGAAGTTGACAATAGAAAAGTTAAGGTCATCACGTTTATCGTAGGGCTTGGTTGTTAGATTACCATTAACGTCTTTTTCGAGTAAAATATCCAAGTATGAAACAGTTGTGTCAGACTATATGGTATCTTTTATCTCAGGCTCACCACTCAGGATATATTGTATCGACATAGGAAAGGAAATTACCATTCAATTTTTTTTATGTATGTACAAGATAACACTAAAGAATAATTATGTAAGCTGAAATTGAGATTTTTTCCTCCGGGTTCATCGTTTCAAGCCACGGTTCAGAGTTCGCCAAAAGCTTTCACAGAATGCAAGAAGATTTTACATTTTGGCCGTGGTTTGCGCCGATGCCCCGGTTTCCAAAACACCTGTAGTGTATATTTTACTGAACATGTATATAACTTTGGAATGACTGTATTTACCATCGTCTCAAGCCACGGTTCGAAATCCACATGTAGCTCTCCCAGAATGGGAGAGGGTCGTACATTTTGGCCGTGGTTTGCGAAGATGGGTATTTACTTAAATAAAAATTTTGGGTGGATCAATTCCTCGTTGAATCCTGTTACATGCCATTAAATTTTCTACATATTTTCTCTGATTTAGATTTAGGGTAAAGTCAGTGAAAGAGCATTTTAACGCTAATCTTTGATACCCCCCTCAAAAAAAATTCTTGGGATGTTGTAGAGCAAAAGTTGTGAGGAGGGAAAATACTAGTAATTTTAGAGAAAAATTATCGAAGGAACCTTAAACAAACAGACAAACAATTGAAACAAACAACTAAACATTAAAAAATCGCTATTTTGTCAGATTTATTCCAGTCTATGTAATATAAAAATAAAATCCACATACAAAAAAAGAATGCTTGACAGCAAACAAGCAATATTAGGGGAACGTAAACTGAATGTCAGTCTTCATTGACATCTGAGATGCCTGACATCAAAGAAAGGGGCAAGCATAAGGGGAATTGAATGTCTTTATTGACATCTGAAAAATTCCCGGTAAAAATTCCCATTTTACGTCTCTCCCACAGGCACCTGACGTTACTTATTTTTCTTTTAATAAAAAAATATATACACATACCTAATAATAAACGTTTATTATTAGGCATGGGTATATTTTTTTTCATTGAAAGAAAAATAAGTAACGTCAGGTGCCTGTGGTCTCTCCCTCTATACAGAATTGTACCTCTGCCGAAGTTTTTTCTTCTCGTCAAGTTAGTTAAAACATGTATTTGGATGAAACTCAAACTTTTTTAAGAACGTTTTTATAGAGTTTTGACTGCATGTACATGTCCATGCAATTTCGCGTCGAGATACAGTGTATTTGAACTTCAATATATTTTTCAAATTAGACAAATTCGCTTCAAATTCCAAAGTGTAGTCAATTTATGAAAAAGTGGAATTATATGTGGATTCAATGTGAATTGATACATACCATTTATATTGTCTGTGATCTTTGATGCATAAAGGACAAGATAGGGTAGGACCCCTTTTTGGCCCCTGATTTGTGGTGTCTCCTGGAGCAATACAATCATTCATTATTACAAAACTCTTGCCATCCCTCTTTCAAAATGAGTATTGATTCTAGTTTAATATGGGATACAAAAACACCCAAGGGAGGTAAAAATATATCTAATTTTGGAGTGTCTCCATTTTTCCGAAAAATTCATTAATGTTTAAAAATCCACAAGCACATGCTTGCCTATATATATATGTACATGTAAATGTACAAGTACATGTATTACATATATGTATCTCCTGCATTAGTATCAAATGCTTCTTGTGTATAAATATCTCAGCTTATGCTTTATGTTTCCTTAAGTGAAACATATCTCAAATTTGACGAACTTCAATCAGCGTCGAAGGAATGTGGTAAATGTCCAACTTTGGCACTGTGGCAACGCACTTTGAAAAAATTACGCACTTTGAAACAGAAATTTTCAACATGCGTTAAAATTGGTACAAAATCAACGCACTTAGAAAAAAAAATTTCAAAGTGCGTTAAATTTGGGACCAACTCAACGCACTTTGAAAAAGCGTTTACATCAATATATTTTACCATGGAGACACTTACCGCACTTTGAAGAATAAAAAACAAGAATACTGGACTTAGATTTTATTAATGGAAAGCATCTATTTGTTATTTATCTATCAATAAACTTATAATTGATTTATTCCCGTCGAAAAGAGGAGAAGACCGGTAGAAAGTCTGTCAGTCCAACTCTTTATCTTTCCAATACGTAGGTGTCGGTAGGAAATAAAACAAGGGGGGGGGGGGTAATAAATCCAAAAAGGGTAAGCCGCATTTTTAATGCCTAGATGGTGTATATCTTTGCAATAAAAGGAGGGTTTAGCCCACCTCCCCTTGCCCTTCGCCCGGATTCGATGCCTAGGCTATACCCAAAACATGTATGTATTTACATAACTGGTATGACGTTGACTAAAACAGATGAAAACTTGACATTTTTAGGTACAGTAAAATGTATGAGAAAGAAAACATTTTCATAGTATATAATTAAACAATCATCTCTCAATTATTTTAATAAAAGACCCATTTCCCTTTATTTATCAAAACTCGCATCCTCTTGAAGCCTAAAAATTAAACATTATAAAATTGATTACAATGTAAATAACTTATCTGTTTACTTTTAAAAAGTTATATTTAAAAATCATGTCGAAATAATGATATTAATATATATATATATTCTCATTTTTTTTTAATTAATAATATGATTTCATTTTATTTATTTTTCATCAGAAATGAAAAACGAAATGTCAATATCACCAGAGCATGCTGCTAAGCATATTGTTATTGAGTTTTAATCAACACAGTTTAGAATTCATTTCTGATAAATTAAACATTATAAAATAATCCAAATGTCTTTATTTATAAAGTGTTTTAAAGCAGGATTAAACTTTATTTTCTTATAATCAACAATTCTCTATAGGTTTTTATTCCAATATTCATTTTCTTTTCATCCTTTTGACTTAATATAGACAAAAGTGGCAATATCGGAAGTACACCACTCGTTGAATGTAAACGAATTTTATATAGAACGACTTGTTTAAATAGCACTTGTCGCAGTTTCGTATTTTCATTTAAAAACAAATTCTTCTTAAAGAAAAGAAATTTTTCTTTAAAAAATCAGAAAATAAAAATGATAATAACAATGTCTATAGAATTAATAGGTTCATTCCCCAAAGGTCGATGATAAGTTCGAAAATATTCACCTGACCCACATAGCAACGTTGAATATGGCGGATATTTGAAGACGCTTACAAGAAGTGCTTGTTTATTCTTTGTAATAGAGGTTAAAATATATTTCTTTGGAATAAATAATAGACAAACAAAATGGCCTCTGCAAGTTCTACAGCAGAGGCTCGAGAAAGATATGAATTAAAGCAGAGAGCAGTAAAGTACTACGATCAAAATGGTGTACCAAAGAAAATGGAAGATGTGTTAAATTCTATGTTCTACGACAACCCAGACGATGTTTACGGGCATTTGGTACGTAGTTAACGAAAAGTTGGGCTTAAACATAAAAAGTTATTCAGTGTTTGTATTATAAAAGATTGTAGACAATTATTTTTTTTTTTTATTGTAGGCAAACTATTTTGCAGAATTTGCAAAGACACCTCTCATATCACAGGTACTGTGTCATTGGTATACCTGACAAAGGTTTGGGGGTTTTTAATGCTTGTTAATTTCCTACTGAAGATTCACTATTTTCATGCATATATCTGCGCCACTCCTAAGATTTTTAAATAAATATAGTTTTCCTTGCTGTATTCATTACATTTTCCTTAACCTACCCCACTTTACTTATAAAACAATAAGTAAAGGTATGTTTTGGCAACAAAGCAAACCAATACCAAAAGATTGTGTATAAATTTGGTTTTTCGTAATCTGTTACAGGTATCAGCAAGACAGGGATTTGATAGCAAAGGACAGACAACTATTCAAGCAGACATGTATTGCACATTAAGAAATAATAAAAAGGTATTACAATAGTGTTTTTGTTACCATGACATCAGCATCAAATATTTTTCCTGAATTTTATGCTTTAAAGAATGCAAATGTAATGCGCCAACTGTGGATGTCTAATAATTTTTGTAGCTTGGAGCAACAGTTTTGAATTCATCATTTCTTTACCATGAATATTTCCCTGAAGTATATGCTTTAAAGTATGCAAAAATGAGCAAACTTGTAGATCTGATAATTTTTGTAGCTTGCAGCAACAGTTTTGAATTCATCTACAAACAGTTCCTTACCCGAGAACACAAAGCCCGAGGATCGGGAGGAGGACGACAAGTCTAGAGAGGCCAGTGTAGAGGCAGCCATAGCTCTCCTTAACGGAGACATCAACAACAGACTGCAGGGAGTGGACCCGGCCCTGCAATCAGACGTAGACAATATACTAATGTAATCATCAGAGGTTTTTTTAATACTTAGACCATGTAGACAGATTGTTAGGGCAGGATATGGCATATTATTTGTTCAGTCTTAAGACTAAGATAAGAGAAGCTACATATATGTGCAAGCTGTCATTCTTTGAAAATTTTAATGGAAAAAGAGGGATTTTCATTTAAGGATAATGCATTTCCTATATGAAATTTCCTTTATATTAAAGAATAATTCTTTGATTATCTAGAGAGTATGAGTAGATAACAAATACTTTGTAATTATGTTTGTATAAAAAGTTTCCCTAACTTTTGCTTGCATTGCAGGAAGCTCTATGAAGAACTAAAGGCTGAAGAGGAGGAGAGGTTGGCCAAGGAGGCAGCAGAGCTAGCGGCCTCAGGAGGGGACAGGGCCACTCCCGTCAAAGAGGAGGATACAGCTAGCACAAGTGGCAAGAAGGGAGGAAAATCATCAGCAAAGTAGGTCATTGTGGACCAAAATTCTGTTTAGTGTTATTTTTCACTTTAGTACGATAAACTTTAATCTTTTTCTTATACGGATGAATCTTGTTAATATTTGTAATCAGGAGCAGTGATCAGTGAGTATAGTGTATTTTAATTTTGAATGAATGTCCTCAAGAAGATAGGGCAAATGAAACTTAAGTAACTATTTTGAACTCCATTTTGGAAATCCTGGGAAACTTTTAATGAGTATCTGGGGGGATCACATTCATAAAAGCAGCCGTATCTGTTCCCTTTGAACTTTGATGAGATATAAAGCTGTGTTGATTTTGAAGTGGATGCTAATGAGCTATTTTTGCTTGTGATTTTTGCATCAGCTTTGACTGCTGGGAATTAAAAAAGGTCTTAATTATATTATTTTTTTGGTCACAATGGTAAAGATTTAAAACCTGTATCTGACAGTAGTAGTTGGTTATCAAACAATGCTAAAGTATTAAAAATATCTTTTGATGGGAATAAGTTTGTTTTTAATCAGTAACAGCATTGCTGGTGATCTTGATTACTTGTAAGTACTTGTATGGTTAGTTATGTTACTAGGTAGGACCTTGAAATTGTATAACAATTTATGTTTGTAAATGTGCTGATTTACAATTGAAAATGAAATTGATTTTGTGTTTGCAAGAAATTAACAATATCGTCAATATGTCTTACATGAAAAAATAATTATTACACAGTGCAAGACAGTTTTGCCATTTCAGTGATTTGTAGCAAATTTGAACTTTCACTAGATGATCAATGTTGGTTTTAAAATATTTTTTAACTTGAAAAACTTAAATTGGCAAGAAAGTATTGTGATATCGTAACAACAAATTTGATGTGACTGTAATTCTGTAGGAATAACCCTGTTCCCAGTAAGAAGTGAGTTATATATCACACATTCTAAATTCTGTTGGTGATGGGTATATCTCATTGGATGTAGAATAGTCTACAAACATTTACTGTTAACATACTTCAAGCCTTTAACAAGCCTTTAGTCCACAGCATAGAGATGATACTTTGAAATACTTTCAAAAGATTTAACATTAGTCAGTACTTTTTGGAAATAGAAATGAAGTAATTTTTGGGTCTTAAGGATCATCTTTTCATTTATAACCTTTTCTAAATTAAATCAAATTCTTCATGTGAAAAATAAATGTATTAGATAAGGAGTGAAATTTTTTGCACATGTACAGTCCATTTACATAATATCATATGATTTTTTAATTACATTAATTAGATTAATTTTTTTTGCTGAACATGAATGAAATGAAGTAAAATGTTCATATACATGAATGATACATGTCGTACATGATATAAAAACTATTCTATTAATTTCCTAATGAAGACTTGTACATTCTAGTTTATATGAGCAATTTTTGTACATGCCATCTCTTCTAGTAGATCATTTGGTAACAGCAAAGGCATACGACTGGATGCCTCCATGTAGCAATGAAATCATTTTATTTAAAAATTTAAATAATACTTTCACAATGAAGGAGAAATCAGAAAAGATAATGTTATGTGTATTTCCTTTTCCCCCTTGAGGTATATATATGTACATGTATTCTCTTCAGAGAACTGGACGTCTAACAAGGAATACCCTGAGACATCTTAATTCAGTGTTTTTAAATATATTCTTTAACCATGAAGTTATACACTTTCTTAATGAATAATTTAATTTTCAGCAAAGATCATTATTACCTTTTTCTAAAATCATCATTTTTTTTTTTTACAATATATGAATTCTTTAATATGAATTAAAAATTTTTTTTGTCATGAAAGGAAGGGAAAAAGTGCCCCAGTTGTAGTGATTCCAGATGAACCAAAAGAAAAACTACTTCCCGGTGCTAGCTCCTTGTGTGTAGCGAGCCGAGCGGCCTGTACAGCCGCCGCCACAGTCAGGGATGTCCCCGTGTATCAGCATATAGCTGCCCTCAGATTTGGAGAGGTAAGGCACTACTGTAGTGTTAGTATGGTTTCCAAGCTTATAATTCTTGCCAAGGCATGAATACATGAAACATAACAGGGACAGGGAACCAGGCTACTGTATTGGGTCTCAGTAATAACATCATTATCTGCAGCTCAAAGTTTTTACAACTTGGTTCTTCTAAGACAGCATTCTAATTATGTGTTGACAATTTTTATGATTTAAGCAGAAATTACTCATTTAACAGTATTAAATGATAACTATCGATTTCATTTTAGTTCATCATGAAAATTTTCTCCTCATGAAAATTATCTCCCTCTCTCTTTCACCCCCTCTCTCTCCCTAAAAGAGATAGGAGAGCATTATTGATTAATTCAGCATTTTTACTCTCTATTTCTATTTTTTCTTTTCACCAAATAAAACACTACTTTTTTAATTACAAAGATTCCCAAGGACATGCGAATTCCCATTCCAATGGTAACCATTATTCAGAGTGGTAGGTCAGCTCCAGGGAAACTAAACTGTGTCAAAGAATTCATGGTAGTCCCCAAACCTGGAATGCCTATTTCTGAGGTAAACTCTTTTTTCCTGTAACAAAGAAAATAAGAAAATTTACTGAGACCATAGTTGTGGTTGAAAGAATTACCAATAAAATTTGTATCATGTATTTCTATTGAAAAAATCTCATTTGAATATCTCTTTTTCAGAGTCTTAGGTACTGTCAGAAAATCTACAGCTATGTGGCTAAAAATTTTGTGAACAAAAGTGGGGTAAGTGATTTGAATGATCTGCTACTATGTATAGTAAAAAAAAATTGATGTTGTTTGAATGGATGCTTGCATGGTTATTTTTGTGTACATGCATGCAGCTAATCCTGTGCATACCTGAAGGAAGTCATATCTCTTTATATGAGTCTTTACTTTATTTTTTTTTTTTAATCTAAGGTTATGCACTAGTGTTTAATTGTTTTATATATGCAAAAGAGACTAAAAATATATATTGAAAAAGTTGAAAGGGATTTGAGATTTAATACTTGACCAGCCTTTTATTTTTTGGTAGCGGATCTGCCTAAATTTTTTATGTTGATAATAAAATATTGAACATAAATCCAAGGGAAGTTAGGCCAAGAAATGACCGCTTTGTAAGAAAAGTGTTTCATTTGTAAAAATATTTATGTTTTACAATAATATGTTGTTTTCAGATGGCTGCTCAGTATGGTAATGACATTGGGGCCCTGTGTCCTTCCTACGACAAGCCTGAACAAGGATTAGACATCCTACAGGATGCCATCACCAGCCTAGAACTGACCCCGGGGGAGGATTTCTTCATAGCGCTCAACCTTGCCGGCAAGGAAATATTTGACTACGTAAGTAATCAGCCTAGCTTTAAACTCATACATTGATTTTTAATTTCATTAATTAAAAAAAAAATTTTTAACCATTATTTCTTTATATCAAACAAATATTTAATGCAAAATGATATCAGTTACATGTAGTAAGCCCACAACCTATATAATTAATCTATTACCCTTCTAAATTTCTATTTTACATAACCTAACATTTTTAAAAAATTTATTATTATTTTTGCATGTTGTTCATCAATGGAAAGAAATGTGCATGCATTATGTATATTTGAATAACCTTATTTGTCTTCAACTGGTACTTGTCCCCAGATTCATTTTGAAGCAGTACATTCTTTACTCAGGTTGAATAGGAATATTATTTATAGATAAAATTTTATTGTTAAAATTACTGTTTAACCTAAAAGGATAAGAAAGCAGGTCAGGCTTTAGTAAGTACTGAAGATTTTTTTGTTTTGGGTAAAAGAGTTTGATGCCAAAATTAAATGCGTAGGTGATGTTCAAGTGGGGTTTTATAGGACAGGGCACCATGTTTTTGCGCACTGCGTTCAATCACAATATAGTACACATTGTGCTGTTAATGCAGTCACATTGCTTAATTATTGTGTCTTTGTGCTATATATATGTTCAATTTTATAGTTTAAAGTACCTGTTCCTTTTTTTGCAACTGCAATTTTGTGCTTGAGAAGCGGCATGCATGCTTTGGCGTCATTTTTCTTTTTTTACGTAATTTAATAACTTCTATCCCAGGATCCCTCTTTACCAGCCAAATCCGATTTCCCTGGCCAGGGTATGCACAAGGTATCAAATGAAGCGTCAGCACTCTTTTATGACATTGATGTGAACTAATCTTTACAGATATGCTGTGGTACATGTATTTATAACTGCATGTTTGTAAAAGTTTACTTGTTTATATACAGTGTATTGTGAATTATGTTTGTGTAGTTGATGATATGTGTTCGTTTACTGAGTATCTTTGAATAGAATTATGTCATTGTTTTAGATGGAGTGATGCATATATGATGTGGCTTTATAAATTGTCTTTGTGTTAGTTTGAATTAGTTTTTCATCTAGTAAATTTTGAGTTATCTGTAGTTTAATCAATTAATGTAATAGAAATCCTAATCAGTCTTTGAGTACTGCCTTGAAATAATCCAATTTTCTAAATTATATTTTTCATTTTCTAAGGGGGGGGGGGGGCAGTTGGGAGAGAGGAAATAGGGGGTAATATATATTATTAGCCTTGTACAATGTCAGAATTCATAAATCTCCAAACCATGTGTCCAATATCTCAAATGATTTGTGACAGTCATGCCTGATTAGTTTAAATGATTAAGATGGATCTAAAAGTTTTGTGCATACATGTTTCAGAATCAAATACTCACATATATTTAATAGAAATTTTATTAACTCAAATTATTATGAACAATCAATACTCTACCTGACATAATTTTAGGACCTCAAAGTATTTTCTGATATTGAGTTCAAATGTAATGTTTAGTGTCAATCTGTATACAGTTGATCTTTGGTATCTTGAACTCTGATATCTTGAATACCGCGGATAAGTCGAGTGATTTGGAAGTGACCCAACCACATATTCTTGAATTACGGTATTTTACCCTCAATATCTTAAATCTTTGGATATCTCGTAGTTTTTTCTTAGTCCCATCAGGTTTGAGATAATGAAGATTAACTGTATGTAGTTCATTGTAAATGTCATATCTTTACTGACATCACTAATTCTTGTAGTTGAAAATTAACTTGATATAACAATTTGATACTAATATAAGATAAGATGTGCTCATTACAGAATAACAGTGTTATATTGAATATGAAGTACTATCTAATCACTTGGATAACATTAAATGTAGAAAAGTCACATTTTCACGTACTTCACACCAAACCAAAAAGAAAGTAAAAAATCCTTTAGGAAGAGAACCCCTATAAAATCTAGGTTTCCTTTTTCATCAGTAATCAATCCTAATGATATTTCCTTAATCCAGCTCATTATTAAGTTCTAAATGTGTACCTAATAAATTCACCATCTTGTAGCATAACAGGTCATTGTGCAAAGGGACCATTTACTAATTTTGACCTTTGACTTGTAGGAGAAAGGTAAATATGAGGTGATGGGGGGACAACAGAAGGTCCCCGAGGATATGGTAGAGTTCTGGGCGGAGCTACTCGGTCGCTACCCATCAGTCATTGCCATCATCGACCCACTGAGGAAACAGGTTAGGGAATTATTAACTCATATTTAAAATACTGTATTAAATAGTACTTTTTTTTTCTTTGTACATGTAGTGCTATTTTACAGTAGGTAAGACTAGTGGTCACAAATATTCTGTAGACTCTAATAAAGGGTTAAGATTTGAAGAATGTAATTTTGCTTTTTGAACGGAATTTCAAAATATCAAAGTATAAAATTTCAATGATCTGAAAACTGTCTTAAAAGGATCAAATCTAAAAAAAAATGGAACTTCAAAAACTTTACAATATTTTACATTTGATCTCTGTATATGTGACAGGAGAAGGAACACTGGATGAGACTGTGCGAGAGGATCAGTGATCAGTGTTATGTGATGGGTAACCACACCTACCCCCGCCCCGCCAAACTAATGGAGGAGGAGCTCACAGAAGAATTCAAAACCAGCGGCATCATTCTCAAGATGGACCAGTTAAACACAGTGACAGATATCCTGGATTGTGCAAAGAAAATGGAGGGTGAGTATTTGTACAATGTAGAATACCTGAGTTAGAGTATGCAAAATATAATTTACAGTGGGCCTTCAGATATCTGGACATCAGATATCCAGATGCTTTAGTATCTGGACATTTTTTTCATTGGAACAGAATTTTTTAATGTTATTGTATCTTGTTTAAATGGTAATTCAGATATCCAGATGCTTCACATATCCGGACAAATTGACTAGGAACCAAAGCGTCTGGATAAATGAGGCTCCACTTTATTTTTAAAAAAAATCTTCTTGTGTAAATGAGTCATTTTGAAAAATGTTGAACAGTATGTCAAGAAACCCTTTATATATATAACTGAAAAAATGTTCTTGTGTAAATGATTTCAGTTTGAAAACTTTAATTAAAGTTAACCAATGTGTTGTAATTGATTACAGATGCTGAGAACCAAATTGTGCTGACTACATGCTATGGAGAGACGACCGACACATTCCTAGCAGATATGGTACAGTTTTTTCACACAATTATGTTTTCTCTATGACCCCACCAATATTTTCAAATATTTTTCGTTTATTTAAAAATTAATGGTGCAGATAGGATACTAGTGATTTTATGACCAGTTTCTTAAATATTCGTTATAAAAACTTCTGATTTTTTTCCTCCTATTAGGCTGTTGGCATGAATGCAAGATTTTTCAAAATTAATGGTGCAGATAGGATACTAGTGTTTTATGACCAGTTTCTTAAATATTCCCTCCTATTAGGCTGTTGGCATGAGGGGTGAGAGAATAGCCCTGTTCAACAGACTAATACAAATTGAGAGCCAGCTAAAATCAGAGGGTAAACTTGCATGTCATGGGGAGAATGTTTTCCCTCACATCGCACCCCCACCCATCCCGGAACCAGAGGAGGGGGAGGAGGCACAAGAGGAGGAGAAAAAGGATGATAAAAGCAAAAAGAAATAGGTTACCATGTGATGCTAAATCTGGACTTTTGATGTTCATATCTGGACTTTTATTGTTGAAATCTGGATTCTTGATGTTGAAATCTGGACTCTCTTTTATGAAATCTGGACTTTTGGTGATGTCTGGGTTTTTTTGATTAAAACATGGACTTATGATGTTGATATCCTGGACTTTCATCATTAAAATCTGGACTTTCGATGTTGATATCTAGAACTTCGTTTTTGAAATCTGGACTTTGATATTGAATTCGGGACTTTCATTATGGAAATCTGGATCCAGGACTTTTGTTATTGAAATTTGGACTTTTAATGTCGATATCCTGGACTTTCATCATTGAAATCTAGACATGTTGACCATACAAAAGTTGTGAAAATGCTTACCTATAAGGGGACAATTCTGATATTACAAGTTACAATGCTGAAATGAAAATTGGTTCTCAGAATTACATGTCATTTATTTACAATGTTCTGTGATATTTGTCATTTATGTGTATCTCTTTCAGAGTAAATGCAACTACATGTACAAATATTTATTTAATTGGATTGTAATAAAATGATCATTTCATATACACTGACATGCGTTTGAGTGGCATTCTTAGCACATCTGTACATGATGAAATCTATGTCCAAAAGATATTTTACTTGCTAGCATGCCCATAACCTCACAAAAAAGTTAAAGATAATCAGGGATCATATATTTTTTCTGTAATTGCTATAATGTAGTTTTTCCCTCAAAAGAGCTATACACTAGCGAAGTTCTAGTGCTGCAACTGAAAACTGCAAAATAGTTATGGAAGATTAATAGATTATATGTACTAGTATGTCATACATATGTATATGTATGATAGCATAAATCCAGGGGGATTTTTCAAATCATCAATGACAATATTTACAATCCAGGAGTTCGTTTTACAAAATAATTTACGACTAAGACCAAATTTTATTCTGCTTATAACTTTCTTACTTGCATTAAATTGAAAATGGTTTTAACTTTTTAAAAGTAATGTAAAAAGATATTTTCATAAGAAAAATTTTATACTCAATCATTAATTTTGCAAAATTCATTAAGTTCTTTTGTAAAAAGGTTTAACTTACTTAATACAACAATTACGTAGAGTTCTGGTTATGTTCCCCAAACGGAGTTTGGGAACATATTGTTTTTACTCTGTTTCTTATTATGTTCCCCAAACGAAGTTGGGGAACATATTGTTTTTACTCTGTTTCTTATTATTATTAAGGTCTTCCGTCTTCAGCGGAAGACCTTCTTGGTATTCTTAGGTTTCTTTTCCACTATTTTTATTAGGGTCTTCCGTCTTCAGCGGAAGACCCTTCTATTATTCTTCGGTTTCTTTTTCCCCTTTATTATTGTTATTCTTTTTTTTTCTTACAAAATTTGTGCAGGCGATTACTCAGAGATGGCTCGTTCGATTTTAACCAAATTTTCAGGGTTGATGCGTTGTTATTTGAAGTTAATTCCGGTGGGTTTTTTCAGGGATATGTACTTCCGGTCTAGAGTTATCGCCCTTTTATTAAAATTCAGAGGACCTTCTTGTCTGTTATTGATCTCAAAAACGGCTTGAGCTAGAGCGCTGAAATTTTCAGTGATGATAGAGGACATGTTGCCATGGTGCACCTGGGTCAGGATAATTTCCTGAATTGTTTAGTATGGAAGCTCGGTAGGGGTCAAAATTTAGGACACGAATCATGAGTGATTTTTCGAAACATTTTGCATCATATCTTTTAAAGTATAATTATTTTGTTAAAAGATACTGAACAAAATTTGTGCAGAATGACAAGATCTTTAAAATGATATCAAGAAAAAAGTGCTGACTTATCACATTAGGCGCCAAAAGGGGCCAAAAGTCTTTTTTCGATAACTCTTTAACCGTCAATATTTTGTTAAACATTACTGAAGCAAAAATGTTTCTCTCAACATTTTACAACTAAGTAGTAGGATTTTAATGTCGTATAATACATGATTAGGGGCCAAAAGGGGCCAGAATGCTAAATCTTTGAGGCTTTATATCTCGAAAGTGAGAAATATTTTGACAAGTAATATTGAACAAAAGATGTTCAAAATCATGTTCTGAACAATATGCAACCTTTCATTTTTGCTAAACGTCCTCATTAGGGAGTTGAAGGGTTGGCCCCTAAATATTTCTTTTGCAAATAACTCGAAAACGAAAAAGAATCTCTGAATAATTATTGAACAAAAAGTGTTCAAAATCCTAAGAGCTTGAAGATGAAATCAAGAAAAAGGGGCTGGGCACTTAAATTAGGGGCAAAAAGGGGCTTAAAGTCTTTTTTCGATAACTCTTTAACAGTCAATATTTTGTTATACATTACTGAAGCAAAAATGTTTATCTTAACAATCTACCACTGTTTATTATGATTTAATGTCGCATAATACATGATTAGGGGCCAAAAGGGGCCAGAATGCTAAATCTTTGAGGCTTTATATCTCGAAAGTGAGAAATATAATGACAAGTAATATTGAACAGAAGATGTTCAAAATCATGTTCTGAACAATATGCAACCTTTCATTTTTCGCTAAAAGTCCCCATTAGGGAGTTGAAGGGTTGGCCTCTAAATATTTATTTTGCAAATAACTCGAAAACGAAAAAGAATCTCTGACTAGTTATTGAACAAAAAGTGTTCAAAATCCTAAGAGCTTCGAGATGAAATTAAAAAAAGGGACTGGGCACTCAAATTGGGGGCAAAAAGGGGCTAAAAGTCTTTTTTCGATAACTCTTTAACAGTCAATATTTTGTTATACATTACTGAAGCAAAAATGTTTATCTCAGCAATCTACCACTGTATATTATGATTTTAATGTCGTATAATACATGATTAGGGGCCAAAAGGGACCAGAATGCTAAATCTTTGACGCTTTATATCTCGAAAGTGAGAAATATTTTGACAAGTAATATTGAACAAAAGATGTTCAAAATCATGTTCCGAACAATATGCAACCTTTCATTTTTCGCTAAACGTCCCCATTAGGGAGTTGAAGGGTTGGCCCCTAAATATTTCTTTTGAGAATAACTCGAAAACGAAAAAGAATCTCTGAATAGCTGTTGAACAAAAAGTGTTCAAAATCCTAAGAGCTTCAAGATGAAATCCAGAAAAAGGGGCTGGGCACTCAAATTAGGGGTCAAAAGGGGCTAAAAATCTTTTTTCGATAACCCTTAAACAGTCAATATTTTGTTATACATTACTGAAGCAAAAATGTTTATCTCAACAATCTACCACTGTATATTATGATTTTAATGTCATATATTACAAAATTAGGGGCCACAAGGGGCCAAAATGCCAAAACTTCAATGCTTTATATATCGAAAGTGAGAAATATTTTGAAAAGTAATATTGAACAAAAGATACTCAAACTAAAAATCTAAACAATATATAACCTTTCATTTTTCGCTAAACGTCCCCATTAGGGAGTTGAAGGGTTGGCCCCTAAGTATTTCTTTTGAGAATAACTCGAAAACGAAAAATAATCTCTGAATGGTTGTTGAACAAAAAGTCTTCAAAATTTTAAGAGCTTCAAGATGAAATCCAGAAAAAGGGCTTGGCACTCGAATTAGGGTTCAAGAGAGGCTAAAAGTCTTTTTTCGATAACTCTTTAACAGTCAATTAATTTGTTATACATTACTGAAGCAAAAATGTTTATCTCAACCATTTACAACTATATATCATGATTTTTTTGTCGTATGGTACGTAATTAGGGGCCAGAAAGGGGCCAGAATGCTAAATCTTCGACGCTTTATATCTTGAAAATGAGAAATATATTGACAAGTAATATTGAACAAAAGATGTTCAAAATCATATTCTGAACAATATGCAACCTTTTATTTTTCGCTAAAGGTCCCCATTAAGAAGTCGAAGGCTTGGCCCCTAAATATTTCTTTTGCGAATAACTCTAAAACGAAAAAGAATCTCTGAATAGTTGTTGAACAAAAAGTCATCAAAATCATGAGAGATTTCAGATGATATGAAGAAAAAAGGGTTGATCCCTAATGTTTGGGGCCGTGAGGGGCCAAAAGTCGATTTTTTAAAAGTCTTTAATATTCAATGTATTTTTACAGATTATGGAAAATCATTATTTTAGAATGAAAATCTCAATCAAAATCTTTTCTCATCTTATCAAAAATCGGACGGAAGACCCACTCGTTGCTCGCAACGAGATCGTATCTAGTTAAGGTCTTCCGTCTCCAACGGAAGACCTTCTACTGATTCGTTTGTTTCTTTTCCACTATTATTATTATTTTTTTTTTTTTCTTACCGATTTTGTGCAGGCGATTTCTCGAGAACGCCTCGACAGATCTTTATGAAACTTTCAGCAATGATGGCAAATCATATGAACTTAGGGCGTTTTTTTTTTATTTTGCCGTCGTCACTTCCGGTCGCAAGATACGGCCAATTTTCTTTTTTTAAAGTGTCATTTTGTCCGGAAGTGTTCTCAAAAACGGTTTGAGATTGAGTCTTGAAACTTTCAGGGATGATAGATTGTGACAGGCTCTCTTGAATTTTATATAAAGTTTTTGTTGCCGTCACGTCCGTTGTCCACCGGAAGTAGTTTAAAAATATGCAAAATTTTATTTTTTTCTCTTTTAAATGTTTCTTATTTAGGTAAATAGAGTGTCTCGAGTATTATTATGTTCACCGGAAGTTATTTTTTCAAAACCGGAAGTAGTCCAAAAAATGAGCATTTTTCATCGAAATTATCAGGGATGATTCCTTCACACTCAGAGAGGAGTTATAGGTCATTTTTAGTACTTCCGGTCACACCGGAAGTGAATTATAAAGACCGGAAGTTGTCTGAAATTTACAGATTTCACTCTTAAATGTGTTCTCACGTATTTAGAGGAATTGATATGAACTTTTTTTTCATTTTAAGTTGTTTTATGATCGTATCAAAAATCGAACGGAAGACCTACTCGTTGCTTGCAACGAGAAATCCTCTAGTTATTATTATTATTATTGTTTTTTTTCTTACCGATTTTGTGTGCACGATTTCTCAGAAACGGCTCGTTCGATTTTGATGAAACTTTCAGGACTGATAGAACATCAAACAAACCTGATATATAATTTTTTGTTTTGATGACGTCACTTCCGGTTTTGAGATTTCAGCGATTTAGTGATTTTCAGGGGGTCTCATTGTCCATCATTTTTCTCAAAAATGCCTTAAGACAGAAACATGAGATTTTCAGCGATGATAGAGCAATGTGTGCTCTTTTGTCACACACCACTCTTTTTCTCCGGAAGTGCCGCACGTCGGCGCTCGCTATGGCTCGAAAAAAGTTCTATCAGAGACTTAGAAATTTTTGACACCTTTTCTGCAATATCTTTTTACATGTTAACATTTTGTAAAGACATATAGAAGCAAACTTGTTGAGAATCTCACAATCTTTCGAAAGATATCAACAATAAGGGGCTGGCCCCTATAATAAAGGGCCAAAAAGGGCCAAAATTTTTCCTTTATATCTCAAAAAGTATTGAGAATTTGTAATACGTCAAAGAAGCAAAGTTGTTCAAAATGTCAAGCTTTATCTTATAGGCTCGTCAAAATTCG